TCTTTTACCAACTTCGTTAACAAAGAGCTTCTTTTTTGTCTCTTTACTAAAATTTTTTATACAAGGGCTCCACCTGCTAGTTATCTTGTATAATATCGCTTTTAGCTTGCATGTTAAATATACAAAGGAGTCCCCGAGAGAAAGCAGTTAATCTTTGTAAAAACTGTTGTATTGTAAAAGAAACTTCTTCATCTTCCTTAATAAAATTTTTGTTTTTTGCTTTTTCGAATTTTTGGGAAAAAGGATCGTCAGAAAGAGTTGCTGAATTAGATTGTTATGTTTTATAATAGATTATTATAAAGTAGCATGAAGTTTATGTAAACAATATATAAAGAAACTTCTATTTTAAAATTTATCTACATTCCTTTGCTCTAGCCATCTTACTGAATCATCTATGTTAATTAGATCATTCAATAAACCCATATTTAGCAAAGGAACTGTTATAATTGAATTTCTTACAGCAAATCTATATATAATGAAAAGTCAATCTATAACTAAAGTGAGGAAATAACTTTAACAATGCTAACTAGTGTTGGGTCTGTTTATATGTCTAATTATTTTTGTCTGAATTAGACATATAAAATTTTTTTATGTCCAATCTTCCAATCACGCAATTTTTATGTCCAATTTTTGTTCAAGACCAATATTAGTGCTAACAATATAGCCAAATTCATTATAAAAGTTTCAGATGCTTTTCATTTTCTCTTATTTGTGTTGTATGACTCAAATTAATAAGGATTTATCAAAAACTTGGCAAAACAAATTCACGCAATTCTAACTACAGAACTATATTTGTGATGTCCTCCTATTTTTTCTCCTTACAAATTATCTTACGATTAGTGATATGCCTTGCTCAGTACTATACATAACAGTATTAAAGGCTGACTAGCATTAAGTGTAATTTGGCTAGCATTAATCTAATCATATTCATTGATTTTTGTTTGTACCCTATAATTTAGTATATCTAATCAATGAAACTACCTAGGAACTAATGAGTTTTAGCTATGTCTATATATTTAATTAAGTTAAAAAAAGGTCTAAAAAATGAAATCAGTGGGTATGTAAACCCAACCACTATATATTATATATATTGTACAATTTTAATTTATGATAAAAATTTTAGTATGTTAAAGATAATTAGTATATTACGGTACTTAAAACCTATTAAAGTATATAAAATAATCTGAATAATCAATATTTCATTACTAATAAAACTTTTATTAATCAAATTATTATTATGTATAATCAGGCTTAGATAATTTATACGTATTAATAAATTCGAGAAAATCATATATATAAGTTCTTATTTCATGACAAAAATTATCACATTAAAACACTAGTGCTAATAAATTTCGACATTAACCTATTTAAGTACAAGTCACTCTCGTTATAGTTGATTGAAAGATTTTCTTTACTATATTGAGTCTATTAAGTAAATTCACTATATTAAGAGAGTTTATCTTTACTATAATAAGAGATTTACTATAATTAAACCAATCGCAGATTTTGGAAATCATAAAATGTTTATAAGGGAAAGTAGAGTATTATAGCGCAGGAGGTAATGAGGCGTACTAAAATATCTTGAGATATAATAGTCTGAATAGAATGATTTTAATACCATTCAATTTGTCTTATCAAGACGAATCGAATAGTGTTAAAATCTACTTAATTGGAACTCTTGACTACAAGATACGAGCAACGTTTATAAAAAGTATGTACGTACATATATATTCGATATACTCTAATGACTAAGAATTTTCTTTATTTAGTAATTTATTATTTGTATGTATTAAGATAAAATTTCGAACTTAGACAATTAAGTAGTTTATGCAGTATGTAAATATTACTATATTTGCAATATGCTGAAATACCGATACGTATTAGTGTTAGTGTATTAGCGTTAGGTGAGTAAAATAACACTTATTTCAAAAAAGCTGCAATAAACAAGTTTTTATTATTATTATTATTAATTACAGACATTACACTTGACCGTTAATTATAAAAATTTTAATTTTAAATTATAAACAATTCGTGTAACAATACTTTTCAATATAGCAATAGAAAATAAACAACCAATACGTAAAAATTATGCTACTAATTTATATAAGCAATTAATTAAATCAACATTACTCAGTTACATTTTTAATAATATATTTGATTTGTGATACATTAAATTTGGAAATTTTGTTAGTACTAAAAGTACTAACTCTTTCAATTTTGTTGACTCCTATTCCCTTAAATAAGGTATAAATTTTATTTACTTTTTCTACCCTTTTTCTTAAAGTGATCTGAGTCATATTATTGAAATGGTTTAAAAGTTTATTATAAACTTTAGATGTTGCTGATTTTTTAGAGCTTCTATGTTTGGAATTTTTTTGATCTCTTAATGTTTAATTAATTTGTTTATCCAGCTCATCCGCAAATTCATACCAACTTCTAATTACCATTTAATTAGCCTTAGATGCATCACGTTCAGTACGGATTATGTTTGTGTAAAGTTGAATTAACGGTAATACAGCATCACTATTATTATTATTGTTGTTGTTAATGTTATTATTATTGTTGTTAATATTATTATTCATCCTAATAGGCGTACTTAATTTCTTTATTAACTGATTCATTTGCGTTGCTTTAGATGTTGTTTTGGACATTGCTTTGGATGTTGTTTTGAATGTTGTTTTGAATGTTGTTTTGGATGTTGTTTTGAATGTTGCTCTAGACTTAGTAGATTTAGTGGATTCAGTTAATATAGGCTCAGTTGATTCAGTAAACATAGGTTCAGTGGATTCAGTAAATGTGAGTTTGGTGGATTCAGTTAACGTGAGTTCTGTAAGTATAGTGAGTTCGTTATACATAGTGAGTTCTGTAAATATAGTAGGTTCGTTATGCATGGTGAGTTCGTTATGCATGATAGATTCGTTATGCATAGTGAGTTCATTATGTATAGTGAGTTCGTTATGCATGGTGAGTTCATTATATATTGTAAGTTCATTATGTATAGTGGGTTCGTTATGCATGATAGGTCATTATGCATAGTGGGTTCATTATGCATAGTGAGTTTAGTAAGTTTGTTATGCATAGTAGGTTCAGTAAGTTCGTTATACATAGTGAGTTCAGTAAGTTCGTTATGCATAGTGAGTTCAGTAAGTTCGTTATGTATAGTGAGTTCAGTAAGTTCGTTATGCATAGTAGGTTCAATAAGTTCATTATACATGGTGGGTTCAGTAAGTTCATTACGCATAGTAAGGGTAGAAATAGTACATTCTAAATTCAATAATAAACTAATAGAACAGTTACTTTCTTGTCTATTAAACAATATATTTTCAATCTCATTAGTTTTTTCTTGACAGAGCGGACATTTATCATTAATATATTCTTTATGGTAAAAGTGTTTGCAACTTAAAATTGCAATTGATTTCTTTAGACTTAGATCTATAACACTTTTGCATATCATACAAATGTCTTCTTTTTTCATATCAATGTTTGGCAGAATATCTCCAGGCTTTTTGTAGAAAATAACTTTATATAAAAATTCTTTTAAAGATTCTATATTTGTGTCTTTTAAAAAAAGGTAACTGATATATTTATATTTATATTTATATTTATATTTATATTTATATTTATAACTAACAAATAATTAATTTTATATGTATACAATAAATTAACTCAATTTTATAATGATGAATATGTTACATGTCATTTTTTAATTTATGTCAATAATAATTGACACCTGTCATTTTTTAATTTTCACTGATTGATAAATGATACAAGTTAATTCTTAATGCAATCATATTATAATAATGAATATGTTACATGTCATTTTTCAATTTATATCGATTATTAATTAACAAGTCAATTCTTAATGCAATCATATTATAATTATGAATATCAGATATGTTACTGTCATTTTATCAATTTATGTCAATTATTAATTGACGTCTATTATTTTAATTTTTACCAATTGATAAATGACTAGGGATGTTATAGTCTGACAAGGACCATAGTCCGAATCGGTTTTTTGAACTGATCTAAGTAGTTCTTGGTCCAAGAATTAGAACTGATCCAAACAAGTTAGTCTACATAAAAAAACACAAAACATCATAATTATATAATCAAATGGATGTTTACATATATACAAGTTGTTATGAAAGATATCTGTGCATTTATTTTTCCATTTATTTAACTATTTATTCTTTTACAACTCAGGATCAATCTCCACTATACTAACTACAATAACATATATTATATTCTAATAACTTAGTAAACATTGCTCTTATTTAAATACAATACAGTATATTTACAGCTCAAGATTTAAAATCAATTATATAAATTTGTGTGGCCTAACTATTGCTATTATAAAATAGATTTTATCATATGGGTCTTATGTAACAACTAGTGCTTTTTTCAAAAGCTTATTCATATAGATATATATAAAAATCATGTGATGCATGATTTTCATATCTTGCAAAAACTGTATTTGGTTTTTGCTAAACTAAATATTAAGATAGAGAATTTTTTTAAATAAGGAGTATTTAAAAATTGTAATAGGCTGGGATTAACATATATTAGGTCAGGAGAATTAAAAATTGTAATTGACTGGTCTAAGACATTTATTAGGTTGGGACTATTAAAAATCGTATTAGGCTAGGCTAAGACATTTATTAGGTCAGGAATATTAAAAATTGGACTAAAACATTTATAAGATCAGAAATATTAAAAATTGTAATAGGCTGAGCTAGAGACATTTATTAGATCGAGAATATTAAAAAATTATAATTAGCTAGGCTAAAATATTTATTAGGTCGAGAGTATTAAAAATTGTAATTGGCTGAGCTAAGACATTTATTAGGCTGAGAGTATTAAAAATTATAATTTGCTGAGCTGACATTTAATTAAGTTGGTGCTTTTATTTATAAATTTTATTTTATTGCAAATAAATATTACATCATGAATAAGTATTGATTATATTTTAAGCTATTTATTGAAAGAAATCTTCAAATTGATATCAAGTGGCTTGCTTGTGTCTAGAATTTGAAGAATAAAGTTATTTGTTATTTGATGCAATACTTCTCATTCTTTATGATGCTCGACTAATTAACTATTATTGTTACCTCCTTTATTCATCGTTTGTACTTTATTCTTTACTTGTAT